TGGAGTTCCAGATCTAGACTAAATTAAAGTTGAATTTACGGGTATATTCATGTTTTGTCTAACTAAAGCACTGATTCTTGACTAAATGCAAAGTCGAAATTAACACGTGCTGAAATGCTTGTTAATTTAACCCTATATTATATTTGTATTTCCGTGTGTGTTATATTGGCTGTGTTTTTTAGAAAGCAACATTTTGCAAAGATTTTGTTTCCGCACCACGACCGAAAAAACTGTTAAAATAAAAAATTCAGTTTAAGATTTTAATAAAAATGCAAAACGCAAGAATATAGGCTAATTTGCATAAAGCCTTGTTCAGGGCGAGAGGCTTGCATAAACGTAGTATAAAAATATTTTAAAGACTGTAAGTAAGTGTCAAATAAATATTTCTTAGTTTGCACCGCAAAGTGGGCCGAAGGTTACCATCCTGTCCTGTACCATCCCTATAGCCAGTCGCTGATCGATATTCACGCTGTTGCAATGGTTAAGTCTACCCAAAGTATTAAATATTTTCCTAATATACCGTACTGTGAACAAATTGCTCAGATTGAATTTTCGTTCATAATAATGCGGACTATAAGACTTAACGGGTACTGGTAATGCTTTTGATTGTAGGTGATAAAGCACAGCATCTGATCCATACATTAGCCGAACCGGCAAATGAGGCGCATAACCGATTTTTGGCAAAAGAAGGATTTACGCTGCGCCCTGATCCGTAACATACGGTAATAGTTAATCGGTGGGCTGAGCGTTAGAAATACGCTTGTCGTCGCATCACTGATTACCCAGCTTGAGTTCGCAGGTCCGAATCCCGTGGGGAGAATTATGTGCGGAAGGATTGCTGAACATTTCGCCACCGTAGGGTGGTTCACGCAACCATTGGTCGGTTATGGCTTCCACCATCAAGTCCATGCATCTGAAAGAAAGAAATGGTAAGCTAATCCCATACACGCCATGAGCAGATAACAAGTGCAAGAAAAGGTGGTCCGCCGTATGATTAAGCCGTCTTATCGGCCCCTCTACCCCGGGATAAATATGGAAATGCTATCCTCTGAAAACCTATCTGCGAGTTTCAAATTCGCCATATATTACATAATATGCATCATGTCATCATCTTATGCAATTTAATATATACAAAAAATTTTAAAGCTAGAAATTCATTAATCAAACAGAAAATTGGACCGCAAAAATTGCATAGGTTGCGGACGCAGAAAAAGTAGCAACGTTTATATATATATATACTTCTGCTCAGTTGGTGAATGGTGAATTAACAGAACGTGTATTCCTAGAAGATATTTTTCAAGACCATGCAGGGGCGGCAGTGTGGCTAAGCGTTAGGAATACGCTCTCCACCGCACCTCTGATTCATCTGCATGGGTTCGCAGGTTCGAATCCCATGCGGAGATAGTTATGTGCGAGAGGATTGCTGGACTGCTCGCCGCCGTAGGGTGGTTCACGTAAACACAGGTCGATTACGGCTTCCTCCACCATCAAGTCCATGCTTCCGAAAACAAATAACTAACTAATCCCATACCCAACATGGAATGGTAACCGGACTAGAGGCCGCGGTTCGCCGTATGGTTAAGCCGTATTTAGGGTTGCCTTCTGGATACATTTTTTTCGAATCGAATCTCGAATCAAAAATTTTGGAATCGAATCTTTCCGAATCTGATTTCATTAAGCTTTTTTTTAATTGCATGCGTATGTTTGCTTAAAGTCACAAAAAGGCCAAATCTAGAAGAAAAAAACTTGAAAATGGAATACGCTATATAGCAAGGATGATAAGGGTTTTTCAGTGAATAAGCCAAACTTATTTCCATCGTGATAAAAAAGATGTAAGTCATAGATATCACCAATAAACCCATTGATGAAAAACTTGCTGTTGCAACTTATCTGTGAGTCTGACAATACGGAGTTTTTATTGTGTTATACTTGTATGAGGACTGAGGCAATTTGATGGAATTAATATGAGAAAATAAATAGGGAACAGTTGTCACAGTAACAGCACTGCTTTCCCTAGTCCCACACCAGTATAACAAGTGATTGTGGTATTTCACTTGTTATACTGAATTAAGGCCGGCCTCATTACCGATTCTGTATCTTCAAAATTTTAGTACAATATTTTATATTTATGCTAGCAGCATAGAGTAATACGACACAAACATTCTAATTGCATCTGAATTACTATAAATGGGAAATGCTTGCAAGAATATGATTGAAGACGATAAAATTAACCACGATTAAATTACATTAATTTCGAGAAAACTGTGTTCACCAGACTACGATTGCGAACAAAAATTTCCATAAATATTAGGGACAATATTATTTGTGGCTAACAGCGTTATTGGCTAACTCGGGCACCATTATTATCGTGGACTACGTTTAATTTGGTAATTCGAAAGTCCAAATGTGCATAATGGACGCCGCGCAGACGAGCGATAATTGGTCGGCGCTTTATCTCGATCAAACATGGTCGCAGGGGCTAAAGTAAGACGACATTAGCACATTATGTTTGGTCTGGTATGAAATCTGGCACGTGTTGATGTAAAACATTGCACAAGTTGCCATTCCTCAAGTATTATTTACCCCCACCTGTCCCGTTATGGCATTTGCTAGAAATAATCCGAAATATTTTATTCCCGCTTGTATCGCGCTAACAAAATTAAAAGAAAATACTTTTTTTTTTGGGACAGCTGAAAAAAGACGTGTATGTACTATTACATTATGTCTTCCTGATTTCGTTTACCGCCACTCGAGTGGAAGCCTGACAAACGCAAACAAAATAAATATATATTTTAGGATGAGAACCATGATTGTCAATTAACATTGCCGGCCGATGAACTCATTCAGTAATATTTCTCTTCAAATGTACGCGAAATAATTCCCTCGGAACAAAGTTTAAATTAAATTTCAATCAAAATTAAATATTATCCAGACATCGGTATCTGATTCTTTATCCAATCATGTCAGGGCGTACAATAACTTAGTCGCATTTGTGCCGTAGTTGTCATGGTTATATGCCAGTCGTCGTTCGGAGTCGTTTGCTTAGTGAGTCCGGAAATATCCTGTCTTTTTAAACATATTTCTGCCAATGTTAGTATTTTGGCGTCCGACTCCTCACTTTAGTACTGTAGTCAGTTCGATTTTTGTTCTTGTATAACCCAATGTTAGACTATTCATAGGTGTCGTTGCTCGATAACCAATGCTGGTTTATCGCGTCCCCTTTCACCCTGAAATGCATTATTTTCCCTTTCTTTTCTTATCTCGTTCTGTATGTACAGTGTGTATTTTTTGGTGATAAAATAAATTACTGATTACTGCAGCGCAGGTGTGCTGTTGAAAATTTCCATCAAAATTGTCAAGAATTTTTAGGTATACGATCTATTTAAATTCGCGCAAAAGAGAAACTTAGGCTATTTAGTGGAAAACGGAACTCGCAGTTCGGTGGAAATTACGCCACACAATCACCACGAGTGAAGCGTAAAAGAGTGTGTTGTGCCGAACTTGAACAAAAGACAGCAGATAAGTAAAAAAGTCAATCACGAAAATTCATTTTCATTTATTTCCGTTCCGTAATTTGGTGTTATTTGGACTGCCGCATAAACGCATTCGGCAGTTTTAACGCCGCCGAAAACAACGATTAACAAACGGGCAATGTATTTTATTCGGTCTCGTAATTTGGTGGTATTTGGAGTGCCGCACAAACGCCATCGGCAGATTTAAAGCCGCCGAAAACAACGATTTAACAAACGTTCAATGTTTTTTTCCCGGTAAATCGCCCTCTGTTTCCGAATCGCGTAAATCTGATTCGAATCGATTCGGAAAAGATGCGATTCGAATCGATCCGATTCGTAAATCCAAAAGTGGCATCCCTAGCCTTATTATCACTTTCCTCTCCCAGTCTCCCCCGGGATAATTATGTAAATCATATCCTACCGGTACGGTACTGGTACCGATGGAGGTAATCGAGGCCTGCCTTATTTACGATAGGATAGGATAGGAATTACATATTTATCCCGGGGGAGAGGAAAGCCGATAAGACGGCTTATCCATATGGCGAACCACGGCCTCTCGTCCGGTTACCATTCGAAGTCGGGTATGGGATTAGTTTTACTGTATTGTTTGTTTTCGGAAGCATGGACTTGGTGGTGGAGGAAGCCGTAACCGACCAGCGGTTACGTGAACCACCCAACGACGGCGAGGAGTCCAGCAATCCTAGGTTGGTGTATGGCGTACACCAATGATATAATACGGAGAATAAAGATGAAATGTAAATAAAAATAAAATAAGTCAGCAACATCACACTAATGTAACGGTACGAGTACTTACGAAGAGTAAACAAACTAGTTCTAGTAATCTAGTACGACTGTAAGAGTAATCTCTAGTCTAGACGTTTTAGTAAAATAAAAAAAAACTACCATTATCCCTATTGAAGTGAAATACTTTCAATACTGAGAGTTGATCGATTTTGCCGAGGGAACCCACAATAGCAAGCACTACAATACAATACGACCAATGTACCGGTAGCAAACCAAATTTTCCAACAACCCACATCGCGTTTTCGCCAAATTACATACGATAAAGCCACAGTACAACAAAATGTAGTTAGATAGGTATTACTCACATAAACTTCAGATCTTAGTAAATCTTTTCTCGACTGCTTCAGAGTTCCCCTTTAATATCCCGTTTCAAATCAGACAAAAGTAAATCCAAAATTTTTAGAATTCCGTTCCAGACGACGATCGCAATCGAACTATTTCCCGCCCAAAATAGAAAAAAACCTCGTACGGCATCTTGTGACTGAAAAATATTATAATTTCGTTTCAGTAAATTTATTAAATGTGATTATTTACGATTCAAATGAAAAAAAAAAATTAGAAAGTCAGGATAATACTTTTGAATGCGTCAATTTTATCGTACCTTGACAGGCATTTTAAAGAACGTCATATCATTAGTCAGCGCATTTGATCACATGACTACTTGTAAAATATGATGTTTCACGATTTTTCCAGACGTTTCGGACTTAACAGTATTGTTCGCGTGCTTGTCTTGCGGTATTTAATTGCGATTATATTTTGAAGGTTCTATTGCTTTACGTTACATCAATTGAAGCAGACGTTTTGGATTTACATTTAGATCAGATTTATTTTTCTTTAAAATCATGGAGTTGCCAAAAATAGGAGACCATTGCTCAGATTCATTTTGTCGCCAGTTAGACTTTTTACCGATAAAGTGCGACGCTTGTGAAAAGCAATTTTGTAAAAACCATATTCGATACGAAGATCATAAATGTGAATCTTCTTATAAAAAAGATGTCCAAGTTCCAGTTTGCCCACTTTGTAATAAGCCAGTGCCAGTGCCACGAGGTGAAGTGGCGGACATAAAAGTTGGAGAACATATCGATCGAGATTGTCAATCTGATCCAGCGAAAAAACATAGGCAGGCGTATTCTAATCGTTGTTCGGCTCCAAAGTGTAAACAGAAAGAACTCATGCCAGTTGTTTGCCCGGACTGTCGACAAAACTTTTGTTTGCGACACCGCCATACGCAAGACCATGACTGTAAAGGATTTCAAAGCAGTGGACGAGGGATTTCAAACTCTGGCGTGGCTGCAATTTTTCGTTCTAATAAAGCCTCAAGTTCGAGAAACATGGTTTCACAACCGAGGCAAACACGACCACAAAAAACAACATTAAACGATCTTGGTCGAAGCTTAAATGCAGAGCGACAAAATCGTGGAATATCGACTTCACAATTACAAGGAAATCTCTCTGAGGACGAAGCTTTAGCCCGGGCACTTCAAATGTCATTAGCAGATGAACCCAAACCCCTCACTCAAGAAGAGAAAGATCGTATCATGGCTCAGGAGCTTCAACGAGAGGAAGAAGAAAGACGAGCTGCGAGTAGACGCCGAACGCAACAAGAATCGAGGAGAGATGATTCGAACTGTAAACTTAGCTAAAGAAGAATAGTTTTGCAATTGATTTTATTCTGATTTTAAAAAGTAATTTTATATCATAATAAGTTGTTTTGTTTCGGGTGAAACTTATTTAATAGCCCCTATGAAATTTATATCTGTTCTTTCAAACACTTTCAACTTCTGCATTTTCAGGAATTATCAAGTGTGACTAGTCAGAATAATCCTGATCTATATAACTAAGTGCTGTTGCTGTAATTTTTTTTTTCCAAGTTGATGTTAATTGGGCCAAACTATGTTGGCGTCGCATCCCAAATATCTCTGGTTTCAACCCCTTTTCCCATTCTTTCACCATTTAAATTTTATTATCAAGTCTCAATACATCTCATCTAAGTTTTTTTTAATATAGTCCTTGTTTATTTAAGTTTTTTACATCATAGGTACACGAAGCACATCAAAGTTTTCCCAACTTATTTAATTTATGACTTTATGAACACCCTACATAATGCTGCCTACTTACAAAATGGATTCGGAAAATGATTGAAATTATTATTTTTCTGTATGATTTTTGACTGTTGAATTATGATTTATGATAATTTTTTGTTACATATATACATAATATATTATGGTTTTGCTACTTTCAGTCAAATTTTGTAACTGCCTAAATGTAGATATCATTCAAGAGTTTTGTCGCTCTATCTTTACAAAACTAAGGCCAAGTCTCGTACAAATACAGTAATAAAATAAACAGAATAACCAGGCAAAGGGGCAAATTCTGAAAATTGTTTCATAACGCTGACGAGCATATATGCTTACTTTTTGAGCAATTAAGGGAAATACAGAATGATGTGGTACTTATCTCATGGGTAGTGTCGAATCGGGAAACCGCATCGATATCCTACACAAAATACATGCATGACTTCTTAGAATAATAAGTGATTTGCACTGATCTCTCATTATGGACGATATTATTCTGTACAATAGTCATTTTTCTTGATAAGAAGCCTATCGCTTTTGCCAAAGTACTCCAGGCCCTGGAATTTCTTTTTATATCTGTCATGTTTAGATGAACGTTTCTCATGTGGAGATTTCATATCAATTATGCTTATAATGACGAAATATTCAAGCATTCAGTGCAATAATATAGACATTGGAAATGACTTGAAAATGTAAAAGAGATGGAAAAAATAGGGTTAAAACTATAAAGCTGGTATTTTAGGGACCAGAATGTGCAAAAACTCATTTGAAAAATAGTAGATTGGATTCATGATATGTACAGGGTTAGCATAGATATACAACTTTGGGCAAATGATCAAAGTAAGAAAAATTGTCATTACACATAGGATCACCTACAAACGCAATGCTTTATCCATTGCGATTCGAATACACCAAACTTTAGCCATATACTTCACAAAACCCAAAATAATGTATTTTAGTAGTCAAATCGTCTACAAACGATTCTTTTTTTGCTGTTTCAGTTATTACCAATATCTCTTACTCATTTATTCGTTTTTCTATATGTCAAGTATAAATTTATATAAAATCAATGTTTAAAAATACGTATTATGTGTAAAATATTATTCTGTAGTAGGTGTTAGTGTTAATCCTAGTCTAGTTTGGTTCAGAATGATGATTTAATATTAGCTTGAACTGCAATGTGGGTGCTGTCTGATTCGCTTCGGTGCTTCTGTAATTAGGAATCGTTGAAGCGTGACTGGTCAGAATAATGCCCACCAAACTGATTCTATATGGCTGCTGTTTCCGCATTTTTGCTTGCGGTGACATAGTTTGGTAGATGAGGATGAAGTTTGTTTAAAGACGAACTAGATTTGTTGGTACCTTTTCCCCCTCGAGTTAGGATTATTCGAGTTTATCATAACCATAAGACCATTTGACATCAATATCCCAATTACTTGAAAAAAAGACATAATTTAGGAGGCGCAGTTCTTACCACTTCATGGCAGCTCCTGCCACGAACGAACCGCGGCAGCTCTTGCCATGGTTTTATAGCGCTATTCTGTATTCAGTAATCAGTATTAACGGTATATTCACAAACTAATGTACCAAATTCTAATTGATCATGCGGAATTATATCTACTTAAACCCTAACCCTAATCCCAAATCCATCAAGACTGTATCCATAAGAAAAACGTTCCAACTTACCCAATATTTGTCACCATAAGGGACAGCCCTGTCCTTACGGCCCACCTGCCGCGGTTACGGCAGCAAAATTTTACCTGCCATTGGTTTTCAATTTGCTGCCGCGGTAACGGCAGCTCGACATTGGTTTGTGGCAGCTAAAAAGTCAGTCGCCATAGGTTTGGCCGTAGCGGCCATGGTATGGAAATACCGCCATGGTTTTGTGGCAGCTGCAGACGCCATGGAATACTTAAAACTGCACTTGTAATTTAGGTGGTAACAGTTGTCCAAAAATAGAGTTATCCTCACTCAAGGACTAATTGATTTCACCTCAGATGCCAAATTCACCCCTCATTCCAGTATTCGCATGCCATGTTCTCCTTTACTCTTTTATTCGATATAGGCTGGAAATTATTTCCGATTAGTCATGCTTGTGTTATTCTTAGTAATGCAGATGCGGAATATTATCAAAGCAAACCAGACCAAATTGTTCTGCCCAACTCTGCTTGAGTTTACATTTTATAATACCGTATTAGATAAATGATATACGATAGTTTTTATTGTACTAAAATAAAGTTATTTTATTTAGCAGATAATAATATTAAATATGAATACCGTTAAGCTTTATTCTTGAATTATGTGCTGAGAGCAACATCAAAAGATAAAGAATTGGATCAGAAAGAAACTGGGAAATATCTATGGTTGTCAAAAAATACTGCTAGGAATCAGTTGGGATAAGACATGGTTCCCAACAATTTTTGATAAATTTCTTCTTTAGCTTATTTCGGATCTCTTCACTCCAAACTACTCAATATGTTCAATTTTTGATTGAACCTTTTCTTGTCTTACATGCAGGTCGCATTCTAGTTTTCGTGCAGTTTAAATAGTTTATAACGTGTGCATTAATATGTGTAAAATATCGATAAACAACTAAATTAGAATTCGGTTGGAAACCGAAGACTTATCGATCGACTTTAGGGGATCCCCCAAAACAGTGGTCTTACTCCATAGTGACACCGTGTGTCCCATCACTAATTAATTAATACCTCGCTAATTATACGACATAATCCATCCAAAATCAATAGGCTTCTAATCCGAGCTAAGATGAATGCACATGCAAAATTTGGAGCAGATTAAACCTCGCTTTCGTGAGATATCGCGTGCATCTTAACGTACAGACATACAGACAGACAAATACCTATCAACATACTTACCGATCAAGATCAACAAGTAATTCCTATAAACCAATGCTTCCTCCCCAAGAACAATAATCCTTCAGAAGGAATCCCCACCTCACCAGTTAGGAAACCAGTTGAGAAGAAATGTTAGTGGAATTTAGCTGAGATAGAATTTGCTTTACTCCCCAGAATGGGGAATCTGACTGTTGTTACCCAAGTTTGGTTCATTATCTCACCAACAACTTATGAGTTTCACGAATACTGGGGACTGGGCCTTAATTCACTAAGACAGCTGTTCCCAAACTTTTTGTTCGCATGATGCAAAATTATCAGAAAAAAAGGCATGGCGCACTTGCACGAAAAAAATGCCGCTATTAAATGAAACTAAGTTTTGTGATCATAAATGTGTACCTCATGCTTCTTGAAGTTTGTAAACATGTAGGCCTAAGGAATAAAGGCTCTGGCTGATTTTTCTTTAAAATACTAAAAAAAATCACTCATGTTCGATATTAGTGCGTCGCTGCGCACCCTTTGGGAACCACTGCACTAGATATTAGCAGCACACAAAGGTTTAAGCACTAAGAATTTATCTAAAATAAAAGTAGGCTATGCAGATGGCTCAATTACTGTTGCCTGTAATCGGGCTGAACAAACCAAGCTAAAAACAAAGTGCAACATTCACTTCTCGTGTTTCAAATTTTAACCCCTCAAAACAATGGTCACTGTTCTATAGAAACTTCGGGGCTCCCGAAGTATGCGAACCAAGATGGCGGACATCGGAACGTAACATGGGTAACAGGTTAGGGTTAGGCGATAATTTTTTTCCAATTTTCTTCATTTTGGTCTTATTATCAGTTCGAAGACTAGCCAAGAGCCTCCCGTAGGATTTATACCTAAAATTATGGCCTAACCCTAACCTAGTACACATATTACATTCCGATGTCCGCCATCTTGGTTCGCATACTTCGGGAGCCCCGAAACTTCTGTATAACTCTATATTTGAAACATTCAACATGTGCGGTGTTTGGTCTTCTACTTGGTCTTCTTCAGTATCCACTGATACTGACAAATAAAAATTTGCATTTTATGGAAGGACCTTCATGCATTTAGATTTCTTTCCATTCCAGCATGATTGTATGGGCGATGATCAATTCAAATTCCCCCTATTCACGCGTCTCCTTGGACACAGGATATTTATGGGCGATAACTCCTAGCATTTTATATACTAGTTTTATTGTGTCTCTCTTCACTCTAGGACTTAGTCATTTTAGTTCCTTCTTTATATTCTGTTTATATAGTATATATTTTCAGTATGGGTAAAAATAAACTACCTGTTATGAAATGACCTTTTTGTTGACTGTTTGGGATCAAGAATGTATTCTAACCTGATCACTAATGCCTGCCCTGCGGGTATAAAATACTATAGCCCAGGGCTACTCAACTATTTTCACTGAAGATCCGCATAAAAAACTTCAAAATTATTTGGATCCGGTCTTTCCATAAATTATATTTCGCATCCTTAAACGTGCACTTCCTCGACGGGCTAATTGTTATTAGCTAATTAAGATTGTTTATTATGGTGTTATAGTTCTTTTCATATATATTCAAACATATAAAAGTCATTTTATAAAAGAAAACTTCAAAAGTGGGGATAATGATACAAAATAAAGAATTAGGTGCGTCCGAATCGAATACCCAAAGGTCCGGATATAGACCGCGGTCCGACAGCGGAGTAGCCCTGCTATAGTCTACTAAATTAATTTATTTCACTCTTCTTTACTTTACACTGTTTGCCAGATAAATCAAACAAATAGCCAAATAAAATGTCAGGCAAAGGGGGAGCTTTGTCAGACTCAAGTGATTCCGAAAATGAAAAAAAGATAAAAGCAAAGTTAAGAAAGTAAGATTCTTCAATTATTTCTGTTCTTAAGTCATGTTTACTCTGAGCAAAGATCTACACAAGCATCAACTAATAGGACGGGTGCTACTTTAAAGGAGAACTAGAATATTTCTGTCTTATGTTGCTTCCTGTTTACTGGCAGGAAAGGTATAAGCGACCACTATAGGCTCTCTCATGATTTTACAACATCAGGATTGTATTTAAAGGCCTTTTTCAGTTTTGGTATTTTAAGACTTTATATTATATATATGCATCTTCATTGTATTATATATATATATATTGTTGTACAAAATTGGTAATCGAATTAATCAGTTTTAGTTATTTTAGGACACCCTATATATATATCACATATATATTGTTGCTGTTACAGATATTAGTAATTAAAAAGAATAAATTAGAATAAAATTATTTTTAGAGAACAGAAGAAATCTGCAACAAAGCGCAAACAAGCAGATACAGCGGCACCTGAAGCAAAGCGACCTGCTGGGAATAGCAGACAACAGGATGGTAATAAAGAAGAAAAATTATCAGTAAGATTAAAATTTTGTCATGTGGTCCATTTTTGTTTGAAAGTTGTTATACGCATTTCAGTCTAGTGTCATACCTGGTTACTTGATATTCGCGCACCAGGCGTTGGAAGCAACAGCGAGGTCCCGACCCGTATGTTACCGTAATACCGTTACGTATAATTGTAATACTGGTGTGATTGAATTGTTAATTCAAATGCTTAAACTGTGATAATAACCTAGATAGTATCTAGAACAGTGCTCTGCAACCTTTTTAAACTTGGGCACACTTATAAATCTTGCCAAATTCGACGGCACACCACAACAAACGAAAAAAACAAAGTGTAAGTTTGTTTTATGTTCATATTTCAATAAGAGATTTGTGGTTGTTTTAATGAGCACAATACGTGAAAGAGCAATTCGAAGTTTGCCGTCAACATCTTTCATACAGGATCGTTAATCGTTTTTGATCAGTACTAAAGAGGAAAAGCTTTGTTCGCACACATAAGTAGTGCAAAACTGGAGCAATATTTCAATAGCTGCATTGGAAATGTGCATATATTTTTTTTTTATGGAAATCCAAAACACATCAAGTGGAATTTCGCTGAATTTCAGTTTTAGCATTTTGTCATTCCTTACTTCAAAGAAATCTTCTCGAATACGCAGGGGTAATTCTTTCGTTAATCTCAAGTTTTATTTATATTCGATTACTACACGTGCTATGTTTTAGCCTCGACAATAAGCTTTGCAATATATATGCTTGACATATAGGTCTACTCCTTGTCACAAATGCACAGTGGGGGATCAGGAATTTGAATTGGTGTCGCTCAAGCTAACGTAAAAGCAGGTTAACTTTAACTTTAAGTTAGTAGAGTTATAGATTAACGTAAAATTAACAACGGATAAAAAGATATTGTAAAAAGAAGATAAAAGTTGCAATTCCTGTGCGGCACACCTGGCTTCGTCTTGCGGCACACCGGTGCGCCGCGGCACACCGGTTGCGGAGCACTGATCTAGAACACAAAAAAGTAGAAACATAAAGTGTTAAACCATTTCACGGTCCTATCTAGCGGGCCATATCAATTTGTTATGCGGGCCGTAATTGGCCCACGAGCCGCTGTTTGGGAACCACTGCTTTTGGCACATAACGTTTGATGAAAGATGTTAACTTCGACACTTTCAACAGTCGGGAATAACTATAGCTTTTGATTGCAGATTGGTAAAATGAAATTCGTCACCGTGAGAGAATTCAAGAATAAAATTTATGTTGATATTCGTGAACATTATGAAAAAGATGGAGAATTATTACCAGGAAGGAAAGGTTGGTGAACTATTTTAACTGTAATTTTTGATAGGAATTTGCTTGAAGCAATTTCATGTGCAATCACTCAGAAGAAGAGCAGACTCATCACTGAGCAAAGTTACAGGTTACCACTGAAATCTGAAGAGCTCTTGCATTGTTTTATATGGTTTTATTTTGATATACCAGCATTTGACTGCAGATTCCAGTTAATTGGCTTATGTTTTATTTCCTAAATTAACCTTTCAACTAGAACTAAAAATGCCAAAGTTTTTATAGACACAATTATTCTGAAGTGCTCTCAATTTTTAGCATGATCAAGGTTGATGTGAAAAGTACTACTCTTTCCCTTCCAAATTTAAATGTTTTTTAATTTATACATCCAGGTGTCAGCCTTCCAGCCGAGCAGTGGCAAAATTTAAAGTCACTAATAGATGACATCGATGAAAAGATTCAACAAATGTGCTGAAAAGTTCCTGAAGCTTCTGTTGCAGTCGTTTATGCTTGAAGAGTGGTTCTTACAGGATATTCAAAAAAGCAATTCTGTGATACTAAAATGGGAAAACATACATGGCTCGCTTACTTAATTTTTCCCCAGTTTCTGGGACTTGTCATTTTTTTTCTGTTCAAGGGACATTGTACATTTAGCTCTTGTTCATGGGACTCAGTTATATTGAGTATCCCCTGTTTGAGAGTGTTAGGTAACTCAATTTCAATGGATTGGGTAACTTGTTATTTCTTGTTCAAGAGACTAGTTATAGCTTGTTCCAGAGATTTTGCAAATAAAACCGAATGGTATTTTTAAAGGTGTTTTCATGAATTTAGACAAAACTTTGTGTTCCCATTTTATCAATTTTTGAAATGGATTACTAATTTACATCGAAGCTGGAATATGGCTGAAATATCAGTATTCAATCAAACTATATAGTTTAATGCCAATGATTTCTGAATTAGAGTTTATTCCTAATCAGGCTACGTCTCTCCTTTGCTTTGCTTTTTTTTACTACCTACCAGAACTGCCTTTGCTTTGCTTTTTTTTACTACCTACCAGAACTGCCTTTGTAAGAAATGTGAAATTGTTACTTGTGTAAAGCTGACAACACAGTTTAATTAAATTTTTGACTTTTCCTTTAAATATGCATGGAAAATAAAAGTAGTGGCTCAGCATTCATAGAGTGCTCAAGCATTGTTTTCAAATTTAAGAAAGTTGATAGAATATCAACCACTATTATTTATGGACACCCCCACCCAACTGTTGCTCTGAGCTTTTATTTGTTATCTGCTGATTGTAAGCTTGCCTGTGTGCCAAACAATGAAAAAATAATTGTACTGTTTGTTTCAATGTTGAGTACTGCTATATGCATCTATTTTGGTTTACAGCAGTGATTCCTGAACTGCGGCCAGCTGGCCAGTTACTGCTCACACGGTGATTTAATATTACCCACCAATAAAAATAGATCATGTCAATTGTTACGTCATTATCACAGTTCAAGCACAAGTATATTCGTCACAACTCAATTGCACTGATACCGGTATCGGTCCCTTGCGGGCGCCTCCTCTACTGGCCTGCACATATCTTTCTGCTTCTAATTTAGGCCCGGTCAATTAACATTGGGAAACATTGGTTTACAGTGATAAAAGCTTATGCATCTTAGGCAGGGCTGTCCAAACCGATTCAAATTAATTAAAAATAAATTATATTCAAAATTGTAAAAAAAATGACAAATCAATCAACTTTCCAACTGCAACTTTCCTGCATTTCCAAATTCATACTCATTGACAAAACTTTGCTTTCTATGTGGTGTTTGACAAAATTTGGAATGCATTCAATATTCAGAAATATTATTTTAGAATGTATTTTGAAAATGTAATTATTTAGTCTTGGCTGTTCTTGCTACTATTATTTGTTCTGTATTTTGAATGTGTGCGACTGATCATATCGTGTATGTGGGAACCTTAGTTCAGTGCATTACTCATATATGTTGAGAACGCAAGGCAGACATCAAATTCAAACCCTGGAGCCGAGGCATTTTTCACAGCGTTCAAGCTGTGATATATAAAATGGGGGTTCATATTTTAAAAATCTTTTCGATGTTTAGGGTGGCTGCTTTCCTAGTGCTTTGTTTTGAGAAAGATGTATGACATCTTATTAAAATTATACTTTCAAAGTAGTTATGCGTTCTTGAATTCTTATGGGTGATTTTTTGATGGTCGATGTCTTTTTCTGTTGAATTTTGTATGATTTCATAAAAACTTGCTTTTGCTGTTTACTTGGTGAATGATTTAGCATTTCGGTACTCCTGAAGTATGCGCACCAAGATGTTGGACAACCTGAACCCTAACCTGGTACACAACCTGAGTTCAGGTTGTGCGCTATCTTGGTGCGCATACTTCAGGAGGTCCAGCATTTCATTATGTGGAACTCTCAGAAATCCTGTTTCAGCCCTTTTTGTTAATATTTTTGAAACTTATTATTTACCAATGTACAAACTATGGTAAGCCTAACAGCAATTCTCTTCTAGAATTTAGCATGCGGTTTGCAGATTAAGGTCGGAACCCCAAGCCCTGCTGTCCCAGGGGTTTGTAGACCTTTCGTTATGTCCTTCTGAACAGGTAAACGCCCTCTATGGTACATAGTGGTGCCATATTTATCAGTGGCCACTCATCAGAGCGGTTATGAATTTATTTGTTTGTTAGATTACAATACTATTCCTGATAAACGTGAAACATTTTATTACTGCCATTATTGTTAGTTTAATGTTCAGTGCTTTGCTTTTGTCTGTCATTTTTGATAATTTTGTTGTTTTGTCTGTTGTTTCTGAAATAAATTTCGTTGTTCGAATCGTTTTTTGGTCGTGTTGGAATGGATTCATCATTGCAAGGACGCAGCTTTTGATTCTTATATCCTGACGGTTGTCTCTTCCAACAGTGAAAAAACACGAGAGATAGTTTTTCATATTCAGTAATTTATTTTGTCACTAGGACTGAATCAAATTTTTACAATAGAACAGGATTTACATATTTATCCCGGGGGAGAGGAAAGCCGATAAGACGGCTTAATCATATACCGAACGAGGGACGTGGTTACCAGTCCATGTCGGGTATGAGATTAGATACGGGTAGCCCGGTTATTTGTTTCCAGACGCGTGGACTTGACATATAGCGACTATTTATACGTACCAAAAATTTGAAATTAACTGTTCCATTAGTTACGGATGAAGACTATTTTTTACTTTATCAACAACATGAACAATAAAAAGTTGGCAAAACGATTGGTATGTTCACATTGTATCCAATCATTCCCAGAAGTTCCCAAATAGCTCTACCGCAAACGTACCCGGGGTATTCCCCGGGTAAGCGATGAATAATAATTTAAGCCCGAGAACATCCGAGGATTTCTTCCCATAAGATGTCGGCTCTTTGTTAGATTTCTCTAAGTATAATTAGTAGACAGGTCAAAAGAACATGCAAGTTCAATTAACAAAAAAGAGAAAAAACATACCATGAGCCTCAATAGGATTTTTTTTGTTTGGTTAGAGTTGTATGAACAATGAAACAGTGAACTTGGCGCCCATCTATCTAACTCACACAAGCATGTATAAAAAAAGATAAGAAACACGAACGTGTATAGCATAAACAACTGCACTGTTTGAGCAAACATAAGGTGGCTATGCTTATCGTTTGGGATTTGTTTGCATCGGCCACATTTGAAGCAAACCAATAACTTGACTGAGGTAAACAACTGCGAAGTCATGTGATAATTGAACACGAAGTCAGCAAAATTAATAAATAAATTCTAAATGCCTTCGCATTTTTATTACGAATAAAATCCGAAATGGGTGCTGTGTTGTAGGTGCAACTTAGTTTTATTTAAATGCCTGATCATTTCTTATTTCTTATGCCTTGGGAAATTGTAATAACAGCTAGTAACATAGTCCCTATTATTCGAATCCTATTCTTTTGTTGCCCCTCGTTCCAAGTGTGAATTGTTCCTAAATTTTCCGTCTTTATTTAGTACCTTTACAGTTTTAGTATCAAAATGTGAGCCTTAACATGTAACACTATGGGTTGCTGTCAGTCTGCAAATAGAGACAAAGACAAACTTCTTCCAGGTAATTATTTACCTTAAACTATTTTTTCTTAATTATTTGTTTGAAACAGTTTCTCCCGATGATTTAGAATAGGATTTACATATTTATCCTGGGGGAGAAGAAAGCCGATAAGACGCGTGAAGGTGTGGCTCATTGTGCTAAGCGTTAGGAATATGCTCGCCTCTGATTACTCGTTGCCGTAGAACTGCTCACGTAACCGCTGGTCCTCCATGCTTCCGAAAAAACAAGTAATTATCTAATCCCATACCCGACATAGAATTGTAACCGGACGAGAGGCCGTGGTTTGCCATATGGTTAAGCCGTCTTATCAGTTTTCCTCTCTCCATCCTAGGACAGCTTAATCATATTGCAAAACACGGTCTATCGTTTGGTCCATGTCAGGAATAGGAATAAGGAATTATTTGTTTCAGATGCATGGATTGATGATATCAGCTATATTTTAGTTAAGAAACCTACGGTAATAAGTTTACCCCCAATTTATATATAGACTTGGAAATCCATGGTTTAAAAGCAAATCTATCTGAGGAAGACTCATCTATCATTGTTTCATGGAAACCAGTGCGTGGCATTTCTGCAGACGTGTTTACACAAATTTTCAAAAATGGACTGGAGGTGACTTCCAAGTTTTTTTTATTTATGATAATGATTCATTTATTTATGATAATGATCTTTCTGCACCCCACAGCCCACACTGATTACTCAAGGCTTGTTTCACCAATCAACTCCGTGTATAATTAAGAACTGAACATGCTATCCAACTTAATCTGGAGTGGTCATTGGATGAAAATCTGTTTTGCTACAAGAGTCTGGTCAAAAAATGGGCAATTTAAGATAAAATAATTTTAATTTTTTCAATTTTTAGTTAGAAGAACGGGAATGTATTGGGAATTTTTTCGAGTACAAATCTACAGAACCTTCATCAAGTTATCAGTTCAAAGTTTGGATTGAAAATGAAGATTTTAATACAAAACCATCCTTGTCTAATATTGTGTACACTCGTAAGTCAATATTTAAAATCGTTGGTGTATCTTATAAAATGGTCCCCATGACACCAGCCACAGTTGCCATAACTTAGATATGCCACTGTTTACAGTGAAAATTGTTCGAATCAAGGTTCTAAGTGCTTATTCAGTGATATATGATACAATATAGCAATGGTTCTGGACCTTTTAGGGCTAGGGGCTACCTACATGAGTTTTTTAGCACTCATGGCCCCGTGTTTATCATTTCATTGGTATTGATAGTGTTATAATGATTGATAAATTACAAATCTCTTTATTTTCAAACAATGCAACAAGGTGAAAGCATCAGGGCAGTTTCATGTTAAGGAAAAACTAAAATCAGTCTTTTGCCTGTGGTCCCTCTTCAACTGCTCTGGGGTCCCCTTTGGGAGCCATGGGCCTATGGTTGGGAACCACTGCTATATAGAATGGAATATGCAATTTATTATTTTTCATGTACTTGGCGTATTTAAGCATTTTTCAATTTTCAAGAGAAATTTTCCACAGCAAGATAATGCGCACTCACTCAATAGTAAAGTAGACAGGTCTCAAAGCTATGCTATGTGCGATTACTTAAATGCTCAGAGCTACAGAAACCAATTGGAACGATTGTGAGGCATTACTTCAATTATAAGAACTGGACCATGGACAGCATGATTAGTTGTGGATGCGCCATATTCCTGTAAAAAAGCCCGCCTTTCTGAAATTACGTAAATTGAATCCCTATAATAAGCACTGATTTGTACTCATTTTTTCTCTACCGAGCAGGACAATGTTAAATTTAATAATATTGTTCCAGATTCCCACATACAAAATTACCTACGTTCTAAATTAAATAAAACTTGTTTTAAAATTCAGGACCCGATAAGCTGAAAAATCTCAAAGCAACGGTTTATGGAGACCAAATTAACGTGACATGGGACACACCAGAAAGGCAATTTGAAAAATATAAGATAGAAGTGTTCATGTACAAAAAGTTGATATTACTTAAGAGATTAAACAGAAATGCGTTCTGTGTACGCCACTGCAAACTTTCTAAACCTTATCGCATCGAGGTTAAAGTAAAGGACAAAAATGGAATATACAGCAAACCAGTGGAAACAGAAGTTGCATTGCGTAAGTGATGAAGGATATTTTCTATAGTTTATTTTTCATTTTAAACAAGGCCGTAGACAAGCAGGCACTGATCTATAGAAAAAACGTTTATTTATTTCTTTTTGAGGAGGGGGGGGGGGGGGGTGCAGCCTATTCAGTTCAGCTATAACTCTACCTTTCATTCATTACACCCTCCCCGGGTGAGGTGATAAGTATGGAGTTTAATCTGATGGGATTGGTAAAACTCTTGGTTCTTTCTATCATAGGCCGTATCCCAGATTTTATTATTTTACATAAATAAACAATCTACACAATCATCTACCCATTGACCATTTTTAAAATTTGCTTGGCTCTGCTCTTGCTGCATCAGAATAAGTGTCAGGAACACACTTATCATCAAACCTGGATTAATTTGCCTGGCTTGCAGGTTTGAATCTTGAGGCAGGGGAAATTATATATGGCAGGTTGATTCCTCGCTGTCGTATGGTGATTTATGCCACCAATGGTTATTTCCAGCTCTCTCCTCTATCAAATTTGTGTGTCTGAAATGAATATCTAACTATCTCCGTATCTGACATGGACTTGTATCTCAACGATGGGCTGTAGTTTGCAGTATGCTGAAGCTACCCAATTGCTTCCGAATGAATATAAAAAAGCCTTTCCTAAAACCTCAACCTATGCGTTTAGGATTAGGATTACGCTCGCCACCTAACTAACTAATTCCATACCCGACATGGAATGGTAACCGGATGAGAGGTCGTGATTTGCCATATGATTGAGCCGTCTTATCGGCTTTCCTTCCCCCAGGATAAATCTGTAAATCCTATTTTTATCATCAATGTTTATTTTAGCTCCTCCTCCGGTACGTTATTTGAAAATCAGAGCTGTTGGTTCCGGCTTCAAGGTCGAGTGGAAACAATCTAAAGCTATAAATAGTTGTGATGTGAAAGTTTATAGAGAAAATAAATTGAAGGTAAGAGCAATGATGCTTTTTTATCTTGAATTCCAATTTTGTGCCCCCACCACAACCAGGGTGTAATAGAACGGGCCGAAAAATTTACCTCTGGAAATTTTGCTGCAGTATATCTCGTCTCTGGAAATTTCGCTGCATAGGAAAAATCGTCGCAAGAGCATTTTACTATAAAACAAGTATTTGTGATACAAACAGTTAGGGTATGGTCTTAAATAATGAATCTTTGGTGCTCCCGAAGTATGCGAACCAAGATGGTGGACATCGGAACGTAACATGGGTAACAGGTTAAGGTTTGGCAATGATTTTTTTCCAATTTTCCTTATTTTAGTCCTATTATCAGTTCGAAGACTAGCTAAGAGCCTCCCGTAGTATTTATACTTAAAATTATGGCCTAACCCTAACCTATTACACATATTACATTGCGATGTCCGCCATCTTGGTTCGCATACTTCGGGAGCACCGAATCTTTTTTAAAGAAAAAGGTACTTTGAAAACCTAAGTATTTGTTTTTATCACAAATACTTGTTTACAGCTAGATGCTCTTGCGCCTTTTTTTCCTATGGCAAATTTTCTGCGGCGAATTTTCTTAGAACCATAATAAATGGGTAGGCATTGTTGAAACAGAAAGATTCTGGTTTTTATTGGCTGCTTGTACAAGACCTTGTACGGTGTAAATGAAGCAAAGAGTAAGAGTCGTTCAAAAAAATGAAAATGTATGGTAACTGAGTTGCAAGCTGTATCAATGCAACTATGACATGGGTGTGCAACCTGCGGCCGGCAGGCCAAATGTGGCCCACAAGCAAAAATTGTGTGACCTGCAAAGAAGTGACAATTTTAAATGGTTTGCCCACAAAATGAGTTTTTAAATTAGTTTAATTTAGTACGTGCCAATAATTTCAATTTCTTTGCGCTGCAATTGCTCGTGAGAAGTGAACAACGCATGTCATAAAATCAACGATCAAAATTTTTATGACTGCAATGACTTGAAAGCCTATGTTGAATAAAGATGCGCCCAACGGTTTCAACCAGTTATTTATATTTGGCCCTGCTGTATTAAAGGTTGCGTCTATAACATTGAAATATGGTCTTTCTTTTTAAATTGTTCAACATTATTTATACCACATTGGTATTCTTTTACAGTGTGAATGTAACAATATCACTTGCCAAGAATTTACATTGAGACAATGCAGACCATCATCAAGATATACTGTTAAAGTTTCACCGAAGAATTTATTCAACTTAGTTGGATCTGCAGCAGAAGGAACTTTTTACTCAGGTATAGTCATTGGCATGCAAGATATAAAGTCAATTTTTGCTCTGGAGTGTTTTTTAAATTGATGCAGGATTTTGCTCTGTAAAATTGATGGGTAGCACTGATTTTGAAAAAGATGCTGGACCATTTTTCGATGGGGCATGAAACTAATTAAAAACAAAAATATTTGGGATATTTGATCTCGTCTGCCTTATTGCGACTATTCACATTTCTTTATTTTGGATATTTACATCCCATCCACATATTTTTAACATGATTTTGGAATAAAACATATTTTCTCCTTATTATTTGTTATTTGTAGCATATTGTTGGCTATTTATATTTGAGGTAGGGCGTGGGACTTGACAAATTTTAAAAAGAAGGCACGGCCTAAAAAGTTTTTAAAATTAGGTACCACGGTCCGATTTTTCCAGAAATTATATTTCGACATCCTCAAACGCACATTTCTACGGTGTTACAGTTCTTTTCATATATAGTCTGGCGCAAATATAAGCAAATTTTAAAACGAGAATATCGGTTGGAAACCGAAGACTTATCGATCGATAGTTAGGGGATCCCCCAAAACAGAAACTGCAGTTTCGATTCATCCGCTCTTGTAACTTGCGCACTGCACATCGCACACACACACTCGGCGGGTTTCAAAATTCTCTCGCTTTACAAAAATCTAGATCACTATATCAATAATTGATTGATAACTCGCTAATTATACGACATAATTCGCCCAAAATCAATAAGATTCTGGTCCGAGATAAGATGAATGCACATGCAAAATCTGGAGCAGATTCAATCCCGCTTTCGTGATATATCGCGTGCATCTAACAGACACACACACACACAGACATACATACAAATACCTATCAATATACTTACCGATCTTAAGATCGATAATTAATGACCATTAAAACTATGAAAGTCATTAGGTCAAAAAAAAACCTTCACATATCCAAAGTTGGGCCGATGATCCAAAATAAAGAATCAAGGCTGGCCCGAATCGAATACTTGGTTAAATAGCCCTGACCCAGCGGTTTGCATCATTGGATAAATATCTTCGATTGCGCCCTTGCTTTAAGCGAATTCTCTCCTCTTTCTTGTTTAGATATTTCTCCGATTAAAGAACTGCGCACTGAGGAAGAAAATGGGCAGATCCATCTTAGATGGAACAAACCAGAAGAGAATAATTTAGAATACAAAGTGAAACTCAGTAAACAAGGTTTTTTTCGCAGAGTGTATCTTCAAACTTTCACAGTCTTCAACAAAAATGAAGTTTCATTCAGTGTCCCGGAGGCAAGAGAGGGAAAGAAATACGATTTTGAGATAAAAGTGAAAAATTCATACGGCATTGAAGGGAGAACCAGAAAAGTTTCACACATATTCAGTGAGTTGGGAATTTATTTATTTACTTGAAAATATTTTTTGGTACTCCAGAAGTATGTGTACCAATATGGAGGTAACTTTTTTTGTTCGCCTATTTCACATCAAGTTGTGTAAAGATGCTGAAACTATTGGCAAGAGATATATTCACTTGGCGAACACAGACAGTCCCCGAACTCGTAATAGAACTAAAATAAGAAAAATCAAATTATGACCTAATGCTGATCCGGTACACATACTACGGGAGTACTGCTTGTTTTTCTACGGCATTAATCCATCATCAACAAGTCTTTGATATTTATCAACATGCAATGAGCTGCTAGCCATTGTAGGGACTGGGGTCTTTTTGTTGCTCACCCCTTTGAATATATCCTGGATTAGGTGATTAGCATGGAAATTGAAAATCGTAAGATATTTAACCTGCATCATCTATATAATTAAGTCTAACACAGCGATTCTCAACTGGGGGCCCGTGGCCCCCAAGGTGGTCACAGAACAGTTGGAGAAGGGCCACAAAGCTAGGAGAAAAACTTATTTCACATTCACTCCGCAAGAAACTCCATATATCGTTTAAACATAATGGAATTTGGAATATATCAATCAAAATTACCTTGTGAATACCACAGGAATGAAAAACAGGGGACCTTGAGTGCTAAACGCCTTTGGAATTGGGCTATGATCCATAAAAGGTGGGAAACCACGGGTCGAATGCTTTAACCACCAATTTTAAGTCACCTTGAAAGCTTTGAATTATGAAACATTTCCATGTGTTCTATGTTTCTTGCCTTATAGGTGGATTGGTCAAAATTAGGATGCATATTCTTGTAAAGGCTGATCATGATATCACAGTTATTTACGGCTCAGAAGAAAATAGTTTGAAAGCCGATGTTGAAGAGTGGAAAGAAAACGGTTACAAGTCCGCTCATCCCAAACCAATGTCTGTGGTTCTTCACAGCACAAAGAAATACAAGAACAACATTCGTTGCAAAGAGAATACCGTGCAAATTTTCCCGGCGGAAGGCCATGAAATGGAACAACAATGCATGCTCGGTGCCCAAGCGGTGTCACTGAATTACTGCGTTGAAGCGCGCCACAGTGGAAAGTACACTCTCGAATTCAAGCTAGAAGAACATGGACAAGCAAGCAGGACTTTGAGAACGGATCCATTTATCATTAATACAGGTATAGATAGATAGTAGTGTTTTCCATATGTCAATTTCATTTGGTCAAACTTGAAAATCCAAGCTAATATTCTATCTGTTAGCAAAATCACGGCCAAGCACTGAAATATCAACAGCTATTAAAAATATTTATACTGATAATGAAGCATTATGCTTTAGTGGAGTGGTTCTCAAACGGTGAGATGCGCCCCACAATGGGGGTTAAACAATTTTTGAGGGGGCTTGAAACTAATTAAATATGAAAATATTTGTAGATTTGATCTTGATCACCTTGTTATGGATTTTTACATTTTTTCATTGTTGAGAGATTGCAGAGAGCTATCGTGCTTGTCTTATTTTCCTGCCTTACTAGCAGTTAATTGTAGCTTATTGTTAGCTATTTATTTTTGAGATGGGGCTTGAGACTTGACAAATTCCAAAAAGAGGGCGCTGCTTGAAACGTGAAAAATTCTAAAAAAGGTGCGTGGCGCGATGGTGTGGCTCAGCGTGCTAAGTGTTAGGAATACGCTCGTCACCGCACCTCTGATTACTCTGCGTGGGTTTGCAGGTTTGTATCCTATGCAGAGATAGTTATGTGCGAGAGGATTGCTAGACTCCTCGCCGCAGTAGGGTGGTTCAAGTAACTGCTGGTCAATTACGGCTTCCTCCACAATCAAGTCCATGCTTCCGAAAACAAATAACTAACTAATCCTATACCCGACATAAAATGGTAACCAGAAGAAAGGTTGTGGTTCGCCATATGGTTAAGCCGTCTTATTGGCTCTCCTCTCCCTCAAGATAAATATCTAAATCTTATCTTATCTGATATTCAGGTGCACAGCTGCAACCTACTACTGTGAACCATATTGGGCATCTGCATGCAGCTCTATGTAACCTTGGTGAAAATGGAGGAAGAGTTACTCTCAACAATGGTGCAAATATCAATGTGAATCCGGATCAAGTTCAAAACCATCTTTCAGTTAAAGCAGGTAGGGAAGGTCTGAGTCATTGAATCGACCCTAGTCATCATTTATCAAAGTGACTCGATTCCTCTACATCACTGGTTTCCAACCTTCTTTCTGAATTATCCGATTATTCCGAATCAGAGAGAATTATCAATCACCACATACTAAAGCCAAAACAGCTGCCAACTCAGCGCCTCTTTAACAAAGAATTTGGAATTAATTTGGCTCCGAATGTTTTCCCCAGAGCGACCGCTCCTTGGTCTTCCTGATCTTTGTGCATAAACTACAGATCCAGTTTCCATACATTTATGATGAATTGCATAATTGTGCGTCGTGTAGGAGCCGAACTAATTCCAAATTCTCTGTTAAAGAGGTGTTGAGTTTGCCTTACTGATTTATATGCTTCTTGCCAGCAATTTTGCACCTCATTTTTTGGCTTAATCTCCTTGTCATTCTGTGGGTTGACAAAAAATGCAAACAATACCTAAATTTTACAACTAATTCATACTGTGTTTTCTGAAGAAATAAACTCTCTATGATTAGTACGAGAAAAGCAAATCAAAATGAAGAGTGTATACTTACTTTTGAGACACCTTGTATATACGACATGACACCCCGGGGAAGTTTTGCTCGGAATAAATTCAAAATACTGGCAAATGACATCGCTTTGCTAACAACGTGCTCTACATCAGGGGTGTGCAACCTTTATTACAGGAGTGCCTGATACTAAAAAAACTGGGGGAAGCCACGGGCCACACTTTTATTTAAGATAGCCTTTCTAGTAGTTGCCAGCACGAAAAATTGATATTATTAATCTTACAGCATTATTAGGGTCCTACAGAAATGGTGAGTTAAAACGCATAAATTTCTGAAGAAAACTGGTCTTCAAATTCATGGTCCCACCTACTTCAAACGAATTCGGTGAAAAACATGTATTCCATAACATTGTATATTTTACAACAAGATTTTGCTTGCTAGGTTTGCACTCAGGCACTTCTCCGTGGGCACAATTTTCCCTTGTGGGCCGCATTTGGCCCGTCGGTCGCAATTTGCACACCCCTGCTCTACATGAATATACCTGGTGGCAGACATGCCCAATATTGACAGATAATAATTGTGATGATGATTCCGTTTATTTTTTAAGGACATGTGAGTGCTCATGTGGTCCCTAGAGCATTGAAAGGTGAAAGTTCTGGCTCCTCGAACGCTGCATTCGAATAAGAAGACAACGACACTGCTAGACTTTATTGCATTGAAGAGTTAATATGGTTTTGATATTTTTTCGGAAGATGGAAACTTTTTATTTCTAAAGGGGGACAGTGGTCCGGTGCAGTTATTCTCAAACTTTTTTGATCTCTAGCGACCCCTCAACACTTCGAAAAATGCCAATTGTATTTCATCAATTATTTTGTGCCCTTAACCATGTTTAATAGGAATAAAGCCAACAGACAAAAGCAAAAAGATAATTGAATCAGAGATAAAAAATTTTATCAAATCACAGTCAATGCTAATGGTACCTCGTGCTTGCCAGAGATCTGCTTGGTGGCCACCTAATGGGGCCCAAGGGCCAGACCTGGGTCTACTGGTTGAGAAAATGCACAATGAGAAGCTTTTTACTTAATGTAGAGCTTTAGTAAATTGTTTTCCAAATATATTTGTAGCCCTAATATACAGTGGTTTCTTGTTGGCTGAGAAAACACCTCAAAAATAAGAGTTTTAAAATGATGAGAGATATTTATTTTGAGACTATGGAATTTAAATCCAAGCTGTGCAACCTGTGACGCCAACGTTGTCTAACACATCGGTTTGCAATCAGTGGGCCATGGGCCACAATATGTTTGTTATTCATGAATAGGTTCAATTTTATTGTAGTAGTAATGAATGATAATAAAGTGATGTGTCTATTTTTATAAAAAAAATTGTTTATTTTTTTTTAATTCTTCCCTTGTATAAAAAAGTTGATGTTCTACAGAATTTTTCTGCAAGTAAAATGTGCCACGAATTAATAAAGATTGGGAACCACTGGTCTAACACTTTAACACCTCAATACTTTTCTCTGAGTAGTAATAATACGTAAAATGTTGCAGTATAAAAAGCTTCTATAAATTTCGCATTTAACAACCCTCGTTTCTGAACATGAGCTCAAGTTTTCATATTGTGCCTGGTAATTCCACACAGCATAACTTTGCTTCGTTTGCACTGATTGCTGGGTTCTCCCGTAGTGTATGTACCAGGTCAGGGTTAGGCCATACTTTCATTCGAATTTTCTTTTTTTTAGTTCTACTAAAAGTTCGGGGACTGTCTGTGTTAGCCAATTGAATATACCCCCTGCCCATAGGTTTCAGTCCCTTTACACAACTTGATGTAAAGTAGGCGAACAAAATTAGTTACCTCATATTAGTACACACACTTCTGGAGCGCCGATTGCTGCATATCCTTACGACTAGATGTCACTGATATACGATATACACGAAATAAATCTTCATTTCTTCAGTTCCTGACTCTAATATTTTATTTTTCCCAATCGTGTATTTTAACCCGATTTCTTATCAATTTGTTTCTTCGCTATATTTGCTGCTCAAATTCAGCAAGGTAGTGACGCTGACCCTCATGAACTGCTATGAAATCAACATTTTCCGTTTTTGTTAGTTTTATTATTATATGCATTTCATTGCTTTACATTGATTATTGCACAATAAATGTCTGAGTCTGTTCTACTTCAGAACAATAAAACCTCTCGCAACCTCTCAAAGAATTCTTTGTTCAGCTGATATTTTCATACTTTTATGCTGTTTATTTTTTTCTCCATTTTTTAACTATATTTCATTATATTTGGGAACATGGATTTCATACACAATACTTAAATCATTGTTAGACCTCAAAAATACCCAACTTAAAATTTTAGACCTTTCCAGTTACTCACACTCGCTAATGAAAGTATTTTGTTTATGCGCTCCTTCATTTTACTCAATACATCCGCTATTTAGTGTGTGTGTGGGAGAGGGGGAGGGTTATAACTGAAAAATGTCCTAAGTTTTATATACAGGGTGTTAATAATATTCTGTTACAGTAGCATATAAAAACCATTTGAAATTTCAAGCTTTTTTACATTATAGCCCCCCTGTATATCTTTGTTCCAACGAAAGTCGATAAGCCGACTGAATGCTTAGCTGCTGATCGCTATATGCTGACTGTCAGTATGAATTTGCATGTTTGATACTAATTATTTGTAAATACTCGCAGTGAAGCCATGGTAACTCAAGCCACATTTTTCAGAATTGAGCCTTTTTATCTTACGGTATGTCATTTTGTACCAGATGCCACATTTTTGTCTGTGTTTCGATGCTGTACTTGTTTTAGTTTTATTTCTTTGTCCATTTTTGGGATTTACTATACAAATATAAAAGCTACAAATATGCATTTCAATTTTATTACTGCGGCCAGATATTTTGTCAACCTCATTCGAGATCTTAAATTTGCTACTAGTAACAGCATAGTAAAATTGTTGCTTCATCCATTAAGTTCCTAATTTTTATATTATGTGGCTTCTATTTCACTTTTTTTCTATGTGAACTGTACCATACCTGCTTCGTATATTTTCATCATTTCTTCAACTGAATTATCTTTGCACTTCATTATGGTGCTTATTTTTTTCATTGGTGCTTCCTTGCTTCATCACTCTATGTTCATGAATTTACTATTTTATATGAGCTTGATATATTGAAGCAATATCTCCTTGTTTAAAAGCTTCAGTACGCTGCTTAGAATAATGCAACTATCCCATATCTTGATTTGTGCCTATTTGAAAAATTGTAAGGGAGGCCCATATCATGGGTTCAACTGAAATTACCATTCATTAAAGACTAAAAACGACTTATATCCTCGCATATAAGCTGAACATAAAAATGGCCCTAAAATGATGAATTTATTAAATTTTGCATATCCGCCGACCCTACAAATCATAACACGCCATATACGCTCCTATCACAGCAAATGGTTGCAGAAGAGAATCAGTACGATCGGAGTTATGTACATATTAGACAAATTTTTAGTGGGATCAGAGCGTAAATGTGCCACGAATTAATAAAGATTGGGAACCACTGGTCTAACACTTTAACACCTCAATACTTTTTTTTGAGTAGTAATAATACATGAAATGTTGCAGTATAAAAAGCTTCTATAAATTTCGCATTTAACAACCCTCGTTTCTGAACATGAGCTCAAGTTTTCATATTGTGCCTGGTAATTCCACACAGCATAACTTTGCTTCGTTTGCACTGATTGCTGGGTTCTCCCGTAGTGTATGTACCAGGTCAGGGTTAGGCCATACTTTCATTCGAATTTTCTTTTTTTTAGTTCTACTAAAAGTTCGGGGACTGTCTGTGTTAGCCAAGTGAATATACCCCCTGCCCATAGGTTTCAGTCCCTTTACACAACTTGATGTAAAGTAGGCGAACAAAATTAGTTACCTCATATTAGTACACACACTTCTGGAGCGCCGATTGCTGCATATCCTTACGACTAGATGTCACTGATATACGATATACACGAAATAAATCTTCATTTCTTCAGTTCCTGACACTAATATTTTATTTTTCTTAATCGTGTATTTTAACCCGATTTCTTATCAATTTGTTTCTTCGCTATATTTGCTGCTCAAATTCAGCAAGGTAGTGATGCTGACCCTCATGAACTGCTATGAAATCAACATTTTCCGTTTTTGTTAGTTTTATTATTATATGCATTTCATTGCTTTACATTGATTATTGCACAATAAATGTCTGAGTCTGTTCTACTTCAGAACAATAAAACCTCTCGCAACCTCTCAAAGAATTCTTTGTTCAGCTGATATTTTCATACTTTTATGCTGTTTATTTTTTTCTCCATTTTTTAACTATATTTCATTATATTTGGGAACATGGATTTCATACACAATACTTAAATCATTGTTAGATCTTAAAAATACCCAACTTAAAATTTTAGACCTTTCCAGTTACTCACACTCGCTAATGAAAGTATTTTGTTTATGCGCTCCTTCATTTTAATCAATACATCCACTATTTAGTGTGTGTGTGGGAGAGGGGGAGGGTTATAACTGAAAAATGTCCTAAGTTTTATATACAGGGTGTTAATAATATTCTGTTACAGTAGCATATAAAAACCATTTGAAATTTCAAGCTTTTTTACATTATGTCCCCCCTGTATAACTTTGTTCCAACGAAAGTCGATAAGATGACTGAATGCTTAGCTGCTGATCCCTATATGCTGACTGTCAGTATGAATTTGCATGTTTGATACTAATTATTTGTAAATACTCGCAGTGAAGCCATGGTAACTCAAGCCACATTTTTCAGAATTGAGCCTTTTTATCTTACGGTATGTCATTTCGTACTAGATGCCACATTTTTGTCTGTGTTTCGATGCTGTACTTTTTTTCGTTTTATTTCTCTGTCCATTTTTGGGATTTACTATACAAATATAAAAGCTACAAATATGCATTTCAATTTTATTACTGCGGCCAAATATTTTGTCAACCTCATTCGAGATCTTAAATTTGCTACTAGTAACAGCATAGTAAAATTGTTGCTTCATCCATTGAGTTCCTAATTTTTATATTATGTGGCTTCTATTTCACTTTTTTTTCTATGTGAACTGTACCATACCTGCTTCATATATTTTCATCATTTCTTCAGGTGAATTATCTTTGCACTTCATTATGGTGCTCATTTTTTTCATTGGTGCTTCCTTGCTTCATCACTCTATGTATATGAATTTACTATTTTATATGAGCTTGATATATTGAAGCAATATCTCCTTGTTTAAAAGTTCCAGTACGCTTCTTAGAATAATGCAACTATCCCATATCTTGATTTGTGCCTATTTGAAAAATTGTAAGGGAGGCCCATATCATGGTTTCAACTGAAATTACCATTCATTAACCCTTTCCATGCGATTTTTATTTTTTATTAAATAATCGTATTTGCTACGCCGACTTTATGCATTTGTACCCCCACAACTAATCGATCGACTAACGAAAAAGTAATGATCCTCTGCTGCCAACTGACGGCTCGTTGAAAAGCCTATTTAAAGAGCTTGCAATTGGCAATTAAAAAAAATATTTTTTTTAAAAGGGGTGGTCTGAGTCACAAACCGGATAGAAAAAAGGCATTATTTTTCTTGGGTGTTGAAACTTCAAACCGTAATAAAAAATAGAAATATTCGCTAAATCCTTTACTGTTACCGCTTCTTGGTTGCCAAACAATAGCATAATATTGCTGTAGCAATTTCGCTATCTAACTCAAAATACTTTGGTAGATGGAAGGGATAATATGTCTTCTATTACCACCCAAAAAACACCGAAATTTGCATAAATTTGAAAAACACTCCCTCATTCCACCGCAAATAAAATTCCCACGGTAAACGAAAGCCAGATTTATCGTCGCTTATGTTAATCTCGAAGAAGACTTCTTATCAATAAACTGAAACCCGGAAAAACTAGACCAACAGTTTGAGACCGATTGCTAAATAAAACAGTGGAGTACATCAACGTACCCGCCGCAATCTAGCGAGTTTTGTCGTGGGTACGTATACGTGCCCACCGCACGGAAAGGGTTAAAGACTAAAAATGACTTATATCCTCGCATATAAGTTGAACATAAAAATGGCCCTAAAATGATGAATTTATTAAATTTTGCATATCCGCCGACCCTACAAATGATAACACGCCATATACGCTCCTATCACAGCAAATGGTTGCAGAAGAGAATCAGTACGATCGTAGTTATGCACATATTAGACAAATTTTTAGTGGGATCAGAGTTATTCACGTATAAGCCGATCCCTTAGTTTGGCAACCTTTTTTGAGTTTTAAACTCGTCTTATATGCGAGGATATACGGTATGTCATCTAATTGGAATGATTTGGACTCTTACTCAACTATCCACCGTTGAGACTTCTTAACTCAATGACTGACTCGACTTCAAAAATCAGTCAGGGTAATTCTACTCAACATTGATTTGAATAGCAATAGAAGTAGCGTTTTGTAAAATTTGTCCAATCCAAAATCAAAATGTTTTTAATTTTGTTACATTAGGTCTGAAAAGGTGAAACTAATCTTAAAACGTTGCCGTAGAAAATGCGACAAGGCAGACAACTAACCACTTCTCTCAGTTGTCAAGTTGTCTTTAGTTAGTTGTCTGTGCAAGCGTTTTGTCCTCCTTCATATGCCAACTCCATTTGAAGTTTGAGTTTATTTAAGTTTATTGAGTTTATTGAATATGAATGTGACTCTTTTCTTAATTCATTTACAGATTTAAGAGTGTGATGACAGTTTGATATTGTCAGACTGTGGTTGGTTTGCAACTGTCTTATGCCCTACAGTAGGTAACAATCATAACTGTTTGCAACTCAAAAGCAACACGATCAAGAAATGGCTGCAGCTGCAAGAGCATTGGATAATGGGGAACAGAATGAAAACCTTGGTGAGTTGAAAGTGTTCATAAAAACCTTCCATAATTGGCATTCTTAGTAATGTTGACAAAAGTAAAACACTAAAATATCATAAATGAAGAAAAAAATGCTAATAAAAATACATTTCTGTTTGGGGGTCGACTCATCCACTGCCAGAAATCAATGGAGCATGAGTAGCCAGAATAATATTATTATCTTAACAGGGCATTGATGCTGTCCATGGTGCCTACATTCTTTTATCTGTCTAGATGAAGAGTTCTTGAACTTTTTGAGCCACGCCTTTTTTTAGAATTTTCCAAGTCTATCGCCTTACCTGGAAAATATCTGGCTAACAATAAGTTACAAATAACAGTTAGTAAGGCGAGTATGTTTTGTACAAGAAACCACCATACGGCTTCCTTCACCATCAAGTCCATGCTTCCAAAAACAAATAATTGGCCAACTAATCCCAAACCCGACATGAACTGGTAACCAGATAAGCGAACATGGTCAGCCATATGCTTTCCCCCGGGATAAATATGCAAATCCTATACTATCCTATCATAGTTGCACAACTATAGCTGAAGATAAATAATTTTTTCATACAGGACCGAAAATCAGTGATTTGAAAGCTGAATTTAAATACTTGAATGATGACGGTTCACAAAGTTGTATCGAGGTTAAGTGGGAATTTGTAAATGCTCCGGATGAGAATGATGCTCGAGTGCTCATCGAAATTATTAAAAATGGCACAAAAGAAGGGGAGGCTCATAATGAATATAATGATAATCGTTTTATTCACAATCAACCACAACCATCATCAAGCTATAAGTTTAAAGTTACAATTGAGAATTCTGAACAATCTCTCACCTCTGAAATTGTGCATACACGTAAGTCTTCAGGTTGGGAAAAATAGGTGCTATGTTAAAACAAATATTGGTTTTTAATTAATAATAGGCATCAAAATCTATACAGGTCAGGAATTTTCTTATCAATCATGGTTTAATCAAGGCTGCTATAACAACTGAAGAGGCGATTTGCAAACTATATCACTTTATTCAGCTACTAGGATAGGATATCCCTATTTTACTGTCCCAAGATTTGACTTTCTAATGAAATTGGGAAATACCAGTTATATTTTTCAGACTATATTTAACATGGGGGCAATCATATTCGAATAGTGTTATATTATAAAATTAAAATTGAATGATGAATTATCATTTTAAATAAAAATAAGAATTCCAAAAAGTGATTTTCATGAAATATCATAAATTTTGAGTTTTGTTTAAATAATATAGGTCAGTATTATAGGTTTTGAGCTATTTCTCACTTTCAGCTGCAAACTGTGTGAAAAATCTTGAGGTCACCTGTTCTGGACACGACAAGATAGAAGCGAAATGGGACATACCAGATGGAAAATTTATAGATTATGAGATAAATGTGGATGAGGCTTCGAAGCCAAAAGTAGTAAGCAAGATACTGGACAGGAATGAGTATCGCGGAAAAGGCTTCACTGATAATCGTGTGTATACTGTTAGAGTTGAAGTTCGAAATCAATATGGATTGCACAGCAAAGCACAGGAGGCAAATGTTCAGTTTAGTAAGTCTACATAAAACTATGTTATATGTTATTTGTTAACTCGTGTTATTTTTTATAAATTCTAAAATAATGGAAGTTTCTCCCACATAACATTTCATGTACCGTAATTTTTTTAAAAAGGATAGGATTTATCAGAGAAAAAAAGCCAATGAGACGGCTTGGAAGTGAAATAAGGTGAATTAAGATTTAGACAAGATGTACATCCATTACGTTATTCAAAAGATAACAATGCAATCTGATCTGATTTCGGATGAAAACTGCTGTTATCAAAAGTAAATATTGTATTGAGTGACATGTATCCTGTTAGTGGTTAAAAGACAGATGTTAATAAGATGTCAATGTCAAAAAGACGGCTTAATCATAAGGCGAACCACGACTTCTCGTTCGGTTACCAGTCCATGTCGGGTATAGAATTAATTAGCTAGTTATTTAGAAGCATGGACTAGATGTTGGAGGAAATCGTAACTGACCAGCAATCTTCTCGCACATCATCAACCCTGCATGAGATTCAGACCTGCGAATCCACGCAGGGTAATCAGAGGTGCAGTGACACACGTATCCCTAGCGCATAGTTCGATGTGTCACATCGCCGATTTGTCACATGTTAACTAGGTACAATATGGATGTGTGAGTTGTCATGGGATTTAACCTGACATTTTCAGATGAATTCAAAATTTCTTTGTAAAAAAAAAATGTTCAAACAACTTATCAATGTCATACATAATTTAATTGAAATGCCTTGAATGTTTATAACTAAGAACTCTCCCAAGTACATCGTTTTTTTAAATAACATTCCCTCTTTGTAAAAACAGCTCCGGCCAAAGTTACATCATTAGCAATCAAGAAGAGCTCCTCTGAGAAGTTGAAAGCTAGTTGGAAACAGGACCAACGCACTGCAAAATGTGAAGTTAGGATTTATAAGAAAAATATTGCTGTTGAAAAAAGTGTTAGAGACCCTGAGGTAATTTGTTTCACTTAGTATAATCATCGGCATCTTCACAAATTTCTTCAATTCCCGACTCTGGTTTTATGTTATGACTTCTAGAGTGTGAATAAAATAATGAAGCATGATGTTTATATGTGTTTAGATTTTAGATTATTGTTTAAATTTTACCTTTTTTATTTGAAATTAATTCATCTCATACACCCTTATCTTTTCATATTGTTTTAGTAGCTTTTGGTATTATCATGGTTGGCCATAACATTCACACAGACATTTGTCTGTTTTACTTCTGAGTGAGTGCATTACCATATCTTTATAGTTAGTATAGGATTTACATAATTATCCCAAGGGAGAGGAGAACTGATAAAACAGCTTAATCATATGACGAATCACAGTCTCTCGTCCGGTTACAAGCCCTATCCGGTATGGGATTAGTTAGCCAGTTATTTGTTTTCAGAACCATGAACTTAACTTTCAGTAGCTGTTGATATACTGTGGTCACCTGTAACCTTGTTTAGTAGTCTTTTTTACTGCTAAGTGAGTGTGTTTTGAGCAAATTGTTCTGGAAAATTTCTGTACTCAAATCCTTCCCTGGAGGGGAAATGCAGATTAACCAATTGAATGGTGTCTGAATCATTAAAGCTTTCATATTTTCATTTTCAGCCATTTGATATTAATAAACATGTCAGAAGGAAAAAATATAAATGGGAGAAGTGTGCTGCAACACAATATACTGTTGAGGTTTGCCCAAAAAATTCAGCTGATAGTGAAGGACTAGTATCATCAACCGACTACAAAACTAGTATGTTTTTGCAGTAAATATTATGGGGATAATTAGAACAAGATTAAAGCCTGCTCACGCATTCAGTGTTATCAGAGATGTCATCGTGACTAACATGCAATGCAATGTGGCAACTGTCAATCAATATCAGTCTCCCCACGAGGTGTTTGTTCGGGAGGCTCCATTCATTGACTTCAGTCATCATTTATCAAAGACTAGCTTCATATAAATGAAATTAATCGTACTTATAAGATATCAAGTAGGAGTTTTGGTCGGCTCAAGACTCTGGTGACCCTCGTCTAGGATTGCTAGTTTAGTTTTATGGGACTTCTCATTAATTAACGCTGTTTGTGACCCCAATCTGGGCGGTGAGTTCTAGAATTTATACTTGACATCAAATTCCTAGCCATTTGAAAAAGAATTTGATTACAACCCCGGTTGTTCCAAGATATTTTTGTCTAAAAGGCTTTCACAATATTTAATATTTATGAAAGTCCAATAACTGCAGCTGGTATTTCACAATTTAGAGATTCCTGTGCCAAAAGATCCACAAGTTTCTGAAGAAGAAAGCCAGATCAAAGTTGAGTGGGGAGCTGTATGTGAAGGAATCATCAGATACAAGGTCAAGATTAAGAAAGTGAAACTCTTTCGAAATCAATACATTCGCACATACTTCGTTAAAGAAAATTTTGTTCTAGTCGATCTGCCGCAATGGGAATATGGAGACAAATACGAGTTCCAGATAAGAGTACAAAACTCTGATGGTATAAAAGGGGAAAAATTAAAAGTTTATCATAGAATCGGTGAGTATTTGTTCTAGTCAAGAAAGTGTCTATTCAAAATCTATGTCTTTTTTCTCAACAACTGTGTAATTAATTATGAGGCAATATGCTAAACTACAAAGATTTTGTTTTTTCTAGAGGTGGTGGTTTTCTAATGCAGCTTGTTGAAAGCCTTTTTTTTGGGGAAAAAGCCAAGTTGAGTCACTGTCATTTTGTTTGGTTGACTCAAGCCTCCTATTTTACTAAGATTATGCTGCGATAAGTCAGGTTGAAGAACATTTTAACATAATATTTGACACAAGTCACAAGTTGTGGAATAAAATGAAAATTTTAGTCACACTGTGACGCTTTCATTGTACGAAATGATAATATTTCAAATGAAACTGCTATGGAATTTGCAGAAATAATCTTTGTGGTCAATTCTTGCTCTAAATTAACCTTCCACTGGATACAGAACTGTGAATTACCGTAGTCTATTTGTGTTGTGGGATTGATTGATTACCTGATTTAACCGAGAACAGTCGTATTGCTCTTTTCAGTCCAATCCCCTATCAGTCAACGCCCCTCCATATTCATTCTAAAATATAAAGAAATAGACCATAATGGCTAAAGCGTTCACTGTGTTTGATTTTGATAAAACTCTTGGGCATGAAATTCTTATCCTAATCAAAATTATTTTGTTTTTAGGAAAGTGAAAAAAATTTCCAGAGCTGACTCCATAAAGAATAATTTTTTGTTTTCTGAATTGCAAAATTGTATTAAATCTATATTTTGATTATACATGACAATATTATAATATTTAAATGATGATTACCAATTGTTTGATTTTTGATTAAAATTGATATTTATGTCTTTGTGCAAGCAGCCAGCCAGTTAGCTGGCCTGTTCTGCATTGCCTACCTAAATTTATACTCACTCAGAAGATTCAACCATTAGACAATGCCAATAAAATCGAGCTCATCACACCCACTTGAATTGAAATAAATTTATTAAATTCTTTGACATCTTGTGGTTTGGTTGTCCCTCTATCTCGTGGACCCTCAAGATCTTCATTTTGCTGATCTATGCTTCATTTTGGTGGGGGTAACTTTCTGCTTGTAATGGTGTTTCACATTTTGTCTGGGCAAGACTATGTATTCTTTGATAAGGTATTGGTGGCCTTTAGTTGAGCAATAAACTGAATGAATGTTGCTTGAACCTTTGATGTCTCGCTTATGATGTGAACATAATTTATCTATTTTAGTGCCATGAAACTAGATTTTTTTATTCTGAATTTCCGTTGTTCATTTTTTGTTTCATTCTATGCACTCCAATGTTTTCAAAGTGTGGCAGGGATACCCTGTGAATATCATTTACCGTATTTTCTATGCAAATGTTCCTACGCAAAATTTTATTGCCTCAATTTAAGTAAATTAACTACCTACAATTTGTTTTACTTGTGTTCAAAGTCATTTTTTTTAAATTTATGCAAATTTCTCACCTGATTTAATTCTATGTGCCATTCTTTTATTTTCTTTTGTGCTGCGCCAATATAAAAATACCTTCTATATATTAGTTATTCTCACGCTGTATTAAGTATATATGTATGGCTTTATATTGATTGTTCATGGGATTCATGGGTTGATTCATCATGCTCAGCTTTAGGATATATACTTGCTAATTATCTCACTGCTTATCCAAGGTTTTGTTTGCTCTCCTGATTTCATAATTAGTTTTTATTTGCTTGTTTTTATTAATCATTTTATCGGCTGTTATGCTGAGCATGGATTCGAAATAAACTTATCAACTAATTCATATTTGTTATTAGTTACTGATGATAGATAGGCTTCAGTAGTGGTTCTAACCTTTTTTTCAATACATCCTTTTTTGCCTACTTCGAATTTTGTTATTCCTTCCTCGCTTTTTTTAAATTTGAGTCTCCACCACCTGATATAGTGTTTTATGTGTGGATTTCAAATGGAGTTTTTATTTTACACTAATTTCCCCAAATTTGATTGATTCTTGCTGTTTTATGAAATAGCTCGATTGATTTTCCGGGTCTAATAATATCTACTAGTCCTGTAATGTCCAATCTCTTTGGTGGAGCGGAGCACCAATGAAAAAAGCATTTTAGAGCAGGGGTCGGGAACCTTTTTGGCCAAGAGAGCCATAAAAGGCACATACTCGTATTCTCGATTGCATTTCCGTGCGAGCCATATAGGCCTATAATTTCTTCACTTAATCAGGCCTGAATTTTTTACTCAAAAGTCAACACATCCTGATACTGCATGTTGTCGCTGAGGGCTTCGAAAGGGTGCTCACATGCAGCACAAGTTGAAATCTACGATACTCATCAGTGTCATCAGCCTTTTTATGTTTAGGCAACTTCACAGTATTTTAAAAACTAGGAATCCCCTAGTTTTGTCACAATGCCTGTCTGGTAATTCTCTCGCATAACATAGACATGCGCTGGGCGCGCGTTCTCAAACTTATTGGCAAATTTGGCTATAAAAGAGTTTGAAAACTCGTAACAATAGTAAGCTTAGCTTTAGAATATTAGATTTTTCTGGGAGCCCTATGCCGTCACCAAAAGAGCCACGGGTTCTAGACCCCTGTTCTAGAGGGTGAAGGGACCCTTGCGCATTGGTTTTATTGTCTGAATTGTGTAAATTATAAATACATAACGAAACAAATCTAATACTGGCAAAACATAAGTTCAACTATAGTGGCAAACCTGATATTTGGTTATATTTAATATTCATATATTAATATAGACCCTTAGGTTTGAATGTAAAGTTGTGTAAAGTCTGTACTGTACTGGCAGAACCCCCAGAGGGCCACGGAACCTAGGTTGAAAACCACTACATTAGAGTAATGCTCCACTTTTGTACTGATTCAAGTATCGTGTGAATTCATATTTATTGGTGTGTACTGAACCATCATAATTCTATATAGTTTCAGTGGTCTTCGCATTTCAGTTGGTCGCCTGTAAATTTGCCTAGAGATGAATTTCCTTGGCGACTTGTAACTTTACTCAGATATGAGCCTATTTTACCTTCCTTCCTTCAATTCAATGCTCTTTTGTTTGTTTTTAGCTTATCTGTTGTGAATCTGTGTGATTCTGTTCTCTGATAATAAAGCAATGATAACCGCTTTAAAATCGTTGTAATTCACCGCAGATCGCTGGCTTAGCAAGGACATGGTTCATCTTCATTCATGGGTGCTAGATTTTCCTATTTATCATGTGAAGAGGAAAAGTGATAAAACAGGCAATCTGGGGTCATATACGCATTAAATGAAACATTAGAGCTGCAAAAATGTCTCTCAAATTGATAAAAACGGAAAAATATGAAGTGAAATCAAGCTCCACCGTGTTCAGGAAGACCAATCAATCAATCTTTTATTTGTCAACACAAAAACAAGCATATAGAAGACTTGCACGGGTCACGTGACTTTGTTACTGGACGGCAATAAAACAAAAACGTCTATTTGGCTCCTGTTAGTTGCAAGTCGGATTATACATTCCGTTTTGTTTGGCTGTTGAAAATGGTTATTTCGTATTGTTCTGTTGGCTGTACGTATAGTATAGACAACGAAATGGATCTTCAGTTATATTCCACTGATTTCAAAAGATCCGGAACGCACTTCGTTGATGGTGAGTGATAATGTGGTGATAGTGTGCCGTTATCATTTTTTTCCTCATTTCAATGGAAAGCAGATGACAAACTACTGTTATTAGTAGGCCTAGGCGTGGGCCTACTTGCAGTTGCAGACTTGACTTGTGTAAGACAGTAAGGAATTAATATTCAATTACTATAAGGTATTGTTTCCCTAATTAGCAGGTAATCTATTACTAAGTGTGAAAGGTTGAATAGATAACTAAAGTTTCACACCAGTGGTCATGCAAAAAATAACCAGAATTCAATCGAATTCGCCATCTAGGAATACGCTCGCCACCGCCTCTCTGATCACCTGGGAGTTTCACAGGTTTCAATCCCATGCGGGGATAGTTATGTGCGAGAGGATTGCAGCTCTACTCCCACCGAGGGTGGTTCACATGACCGCTGATCGGTTACGACCATTCCCCACCATCCAAGTCCATGCTTCTGATAACAAATAACTTGCTCCCCCTCCTCCCCAGATAAATCCTATCCTAATGGTGCTTGTACAACTGATCCATAATGTCTTTTTGTTGTCATTGGTAAAAAAGATATGCTACCCGGAATCAAATTCATTTGGGACTAGTGGCTGTGGTGGGATATGGACCTAAATTTCACACTCCTTGATCGTTAGATTTTATGAAAACTCTATCTGTATCCATTATCTTACAGATATGGGTGCGACCATGGAATAGATGTATGGCAAAGTATAAGTTGCAACAAGACCACAGTGGCACAAGACCTCAGCTTGCGTGACTTGATAATACATCCTCAGTATCCATTTATTGATGCTTATCGTAATGACAAAGTAACTTGTGATTACTGTGGATTGGTGAAGATAAAGTGTCCATTGTGCTTTAACAAAAGCAACTTCAAGACGACCCTATCAAGAAAAAAAATTGTTTCGGTGGGTCTGGTAGTGAAGATTTTAGTCTAACGTTGGACACCGATACTACAACCAGATACAGTTGCCAATGAAACTTACCGAGGCGTAATATTGCGACTTTGTGATCTGAAAGGAAATTCTGATGGGGTAGCCGGCTAGGCGCAACCTTTTGTTTAAAGAATTTATGAGATATGACTTAAGAGTCTAAACTTTTATTTGAGAGGGGTGTAACCCAAGCTAATTTGCAAATGGCATTCATGTTACCAAATGTATCACACACTTTACAGTAATTATAAATTATATTTAAAAAATAAAGCACATCAAAAATGTATTCTTAAAAAACAATTCGTTTTATCTGCAGATACTAGGTTGATATTGAGATTGACCATTTCAATGCTAAATTTTCTTTAGTCAAAAGGCACACTTGATTCGCAAAGATTTGTGAATGCGCACAGTACACCAATTTGTCTAATGTTTTGATTCCATAGGCAGGAGGTTGTGGATCGGTGCTGCTCAGGATGGGATATTTTTGCCTCTAAATGCATATTACGTGTTTCACATGAATCCATCGTGCTCAGATTCGACTGTTTTCAAGGTCTGAAGGCTCCAACAGCCTTATTTTATGGGTACACAAGAGAATTTTCAGTGTGGCATGCATGGGTCAGTTGGAGTCACTAACCCCAAGATATCTATAAGCAAGGATAAGATAACCTGGAAGTAACATTCCATAATTTAGAGTAAAAAATGTATCTGCCTCCACAGCCCTTTCAAATGGAAGATATGATGCCTCGGGGTAATTTCTATCAAATATTTTACAGTATTATGGTTCTAGTGAAAAGGGGTGTAGGCGGCTTTTTTTAAAGTGTGGTAGGTCTAGTCGAAAGACACATTAAATGTTTATGCTAACAACTGAAAATTAATATTGCAACGCATACAAGTTAACAGAATTTGTTGAAATGGTCCTGCCTTTTGCCTTTCTTCAAAACCCCCCTTTTTCTAACTATTCTCTTCCTCTCTGGGGATGGCGAAAATTCAAATATCGATGGGACATCTAAGCAGCTGATAATGGGTTATCTTCCCTTTTTCCTGAAAAAATAAATCAAACACTAATCATCATTTGACAGTGCCAAGTTTGTGTATCAGATCAGTAATAAATTACCTGCTAACTAACAAAACAATCTGACAACACCTTCTGACCATTAATGAAGATTTCTTTCAATTTAAAACGCAACTATGCCTACCAATGTGGGCAGTTTTTAGGATAGAATTTATCTGTGGTTGGGGACAGATTGCAAGGTGCAACATCGTACGATTACCATTCTATGTCGGGAGTAGTTATCCAGTTATTTGTTTTAGAAGCATGGACTTGATGGTGGGAGATGTCGTAATCGACCAGCGGTCGTGTGAACCACCCTCATTGGGAGGAGAGCTGCAATCCCCTCGCACATAACTATTCCCGCATGGGGTTGGAACCTGTGAAACTCCCAGGGGGATCAGAGATGCGGTGGCGAGCGTATTCTTAGATGGAGAATTCAGTTGAATTCTGGTTATTTTTTGCATTAGCACTGGTGTTAAACTTTAGTTATCTATTCAACTTTTCACACTTACTAATTGATTAACTTAATAGCTAACTAGGGAAACAATACCTTATGGCAATTATTGATTAATACCTTACACGAGTCGAGTCTGCAAGTAGGCCTACGCCTAGGCCTACCAATAACAGTAGTTTGTCATCTGCTTTCCATTGAAATGAGGGAGCTTATGAATATTCAAAAAAATTGATAACGGCACATTATGACTTACCATCAACGAAGTGCTCTCCGCAAACAGTGAAACATAAGTGAGATGGCTTCTGGACTTGACATCAAGCAGTCCCACCAATAGATGATATCCACATTGCGCGACGCTCCGGAGCTTTTGAAAACAGTGGAATATAACTGAAGATCCATTTCGTTGTCTATACTATACGTACAGCCAGCGGAACAATACGAAATAACCATTTTCAACAGCCAAACAAAACGGAAACGTATAAATGTTTTTCATGTACAATAGCTCAAATCAGTATATTTGCTCCAGTGATGTCAATGACCTTAAATTCAATGATAGTCCAAAACTAAGTGGCTTCATGACTCTTTCAACCAATATCCGATCTTTAGCCTCCTTCAAAAACTACACAAAATTTGAAGCACTAGTAAATTCACTGAATTGTAAGCCACATGTAA